TGCTTGTCTCACTGCTTCAGGACCTCTTTCTTCCACCTCAACAGTAAGACGCCTAAAGTGTTCTCGTTGAAGCTCAATTTCATCATTGACTTGTTGTTGACGTGGGGGGTTTTTATAATCCAAAGTCCGCCAAAATACATGCAACTCTTGAGCATAGAATTGACGTCCTTCTTCCTTAGCTTGAACAACCTGGCAAGCACACTTGAGCCCATGTGTCATCTGAAAATGACACGCACAACGGTCCTTCAACTCCGCCGCCCCATCTAACATCAGTTTGATCGCCTCACAACTAACGACCCTCCTCAAAAACGTGCACGGAGGCTCAATTGCCCTACTCAGATTGCGGTTAAGTGACTTGTGCAGCTCATTCACCACTTCTAGAAACTGATGTTCCATGTAGTTGTGGTTCTTCGCAAAACAAGTGTCAATCGCTCCTCTACCAGACACAAGGAAACTCTTGAATGAAGAGTGAGATGACTCAACTCTATTCGAGCTCGTGTTACCAAGATGAAACACATGGTTCGTGTAGCACTTTGCCCACATTGTCTGACAAGGCAACCACTCACCTCGCACGTAGTCAACCATTTTTTTGTTCTTCTGTGTCCAGACCCTCTCAAACTGATTAATCTTTTGAAGAAAACCCTCCTGAGTCCAACTCCATGCAGCTTTGTCGAAATATTTCTTCCATACCGCTTCTGCTACCTCTCTTCTTGAAATTCCACCCAGTAATTGCTCAAACTTTTGCTTCACACAGTTGTTGACGTGCCATAAACATAGTAGGTGGACAGTATGTGGGAGAGGGAAGACCAGGGGCATAGAAGCAAGCAGACCACCTTCTTTGTCTGTCACAATGACATTCGGAACCGTATCACCGAGCAACCCTTTAATACATCGCAGCACCCACTCATATGTTTCCTTTGTTTCCTGCTTAATAAGTGCACATGCAATGTTGAAATTCTTCTTGACTGGAGCAACCCCAATAATCTCAACCCATGGCCAGCCATACCTATTCGTCTTGTAGGTCGAGTCAATGATGATGACGTACGGCCATTCATGCAACATCTGAATGGACGTCGGGTGCGCAAAAAACAGATTAGTGAGCACATTATTAGAGTCCTTTTGCAAACAGATATGGTACCCACGTTGTTCAGCTCCATGAAGCGCAAACTGTATCGCATCCATTTCACCCATCTCATCCAATCTGTTCTTGTAATTTCTGTTGTACATCTGTTTGATATCATGACACACACCCCCTTCAGTATTGAGTGTCGTCTTCTGCTGATTTGGTCTCACCCCCGCCTTCCTCATTAATCTTAACCTCTCTTTTTCAGCCTCACTAAACTGTTTGTTGTGTCGGTGATGTTCTGGATACAACACCTTTTCATGGTTGTGAAACCCTCTATTAGCTCTGGTTGCACGACTTGTCACTCCCACTAGGACCCATGTGTTTGGACCATCCTTTTGCCATACTTCCTTAATACATATCTGAAACTGGCAACCAGTACCCTTCGAACTAGTATTCCCACGCGTCTCCTTCGTAGGGTCTGGTTTATAAGATTTAACGATCCTACTGCTTCTGTCGCAATACATACAGAGGGCAGTAACAGGATGTAGTCCAGAAGTATTCGGTTTCCATGCTCCTCTAACAATAAAGAACCCGTTCTCCTGAGCGATTGCTATTGCAGCTAACTCAGCTAACTCCACACTTGCATAATGGATCTCATTCTCAAATTCTGCTGTGTAATCATGATCGGCCGGTAACCACTCTGACATTTTTCCTACAATTACAATATAACACATCAATATTCTTGTGAACCTAAACGCTAATTTCAACTCTTAACCGCTAAATTCAACTCCTAAACGCTAAATTCAACTCCTAAACTCTAAATTCAACTCCTAAAATCTAAATTCAACTCCTAAAATCGAATTTTTCCGACGATTTGCAACGAACAGGGTGGGCCGAAAATTTCCGGCGGCCGGAACCTGGCCGGGCCGAAAACTTCCGGCGGCCGGAACCTGGCCGGGCCGAAAATTTTCGGCGGCCGGAACCTGGCCGGGCCGACGGAAAAAGGTGGCCGGAGCCTGGCCGGGCCGAAAATATTTTTCGGCCCGGCCAGGTTCCGGCCGCCGGAAAATTTCGGCCCACCCTCTGTTCGTTAAAAATCGTCGGAAAAATTGTTCGAAACTAAAAAAAAATTGACGCACCTGCTTAGTGATGATTCATGGATGCGTGACCGCAGTTTACGTCGAGGATGGGCTTTCCCGATGGTTTTCCGGCGACTTTTCCGGCGAGCGTCGATTTTTTCTGATTCAATACGTTTTCTGAAACTTGAAAATGTTGTAGATTGTGAAAAAACTTAACCAAAGATGTACATATATACTTTCTTTTTTTTTTTTTTTTTTTTTTAGTTGGCGGCAAATAGCAAGCCCCTTTTTTTTATTTGCTGGGCTAATTTTGTCTGCCCAAACATACAAAAAAAAAAAAAAAACAGCGCAAAACAAACAAAGAACCAAAAGACAATGAGGAGACCTGAATTTACAAACATAGAAAAGGTTTATCACTCCCACATGCCCCAAACCATTTGCTACAGTTAGAGAAGCAAACCGAAACCATTTAGAGGGTTAACATCTGCAATTCAAAACTCTTTGTCACTACCAGAAGCCAACCCGAACCATCTCAGTAATATACACACCAATTACACTTGGTCGTGTCCAATTGCACAACAAATGTATTGCTTTACAATCTAAAAAGATGGCAACGTAGAAAACCTTAAACCTCTAGGCTGCCTAAAAAGAGTAAACACTAAACAGGGAAACTAGGCCACTTTACCCACAATGGCATTAGTACCACACCGAAGTTGAAATTGCCCACAGTTCTTGGAAGAACTTAATCAATAATCAACATATTATTACAGCTTGAAGTTCAAATTACTTACAAACCACAGATATTCATAAAACACCCTAGCCCCTAACAAAAAATTGCCATTAAACATACGCATGGTTCCTTTCTCCATGAGTAAGGCCCCCTTCTCCAAACCCTCCAATTCGGAATATCAATTAAAGGAAACGACTTGGGCAACCTCCAATAAAAAGCCATTACATCTACGGCAGAAAGGAAAAATACAGTAGTTCAAAAATGCAACATAATTTTCTTCCAAGAATAAGCAGGCATCCAAATATTTTAGTGAAAGATTAAGGAACATTCAAAATCAGAACAATCAATCAAGATATGCAGAAATTAGGAACTGTGAGATCGGAAAACTTAAGTTCCCTGGCTTGCTGCACACAACAGCTAGATCGGAGTACTCAAAGGCCAAATGGGGAGTGTAAGAAAAGATGAAGTAATAAAAAAAGCAAGAGATCAGGACCTCATCGATTGATGCAACAATTCCATGGACTCTGCCCGCAGTGAATCTGTAAGACAGAAAAAGAAAACTTATTCACAACATTCTACCAGGTGGACCTGTAGTGAATTGGATAAAGTTCAAAGTGAAATGGCATTAACTTGTTGTGAAAGAATTACTCAAAGGGGGCCTCAAAGGTGAATTATGCATCGAATCGGAGGGAAGAGACGCAGATTGCATCTTCTTAACAGAGCTGGCGAAGCACTTGAGCTTCCCTGTGTTCTTTTCTTTCTAGAGGCTTTGCGTGTCGAAACTCCTCTGTGTTGTATTGTGGTTCTCAATTTCTCATCACCTCTAAATAACAACTATCGCCACCCATCAATCGATCATGATTGGCTTCAACTACCAAGCTTCGCACCACAGGTTCCTTCAACCACACAAACACCAAATGAGGAAAAGAGACGGCAAACTCATTAAAAGACAAAATAAACCCAATCTTGAGAGTGGAAAAAGGAACTAAACATCAATCACCTTAAAGAGAAAGCGACCCAAGGAACGTGAAGGTCCGAAAGAGCGTGGCAGCTCGTGGGTTCCCCATCAAAACAATCCTTTGTTTTTCACGATCACCGCTACCCGGAAGCTACTACAACATCAACCCAAAGCTGCAAAGCACAACAATCAAAGCAAAATCATCAAAATCGAAGAGCGAACCGCTCCACATCGAAATAGGCTGAGAACTGATGATGCCAAGACTATTCAAGTTTACCTTCCCTCAACCCCACTTCCAAGGAACCGATTGCAAAGAGGAATACATGCAAACAACGACCACAAAAGATAAGAAAAGGTTAGATTGAAATCCGAAGACAGAGGGAGAAATCAGAGCATAAAAGAGAGGCGAACCTACAAAGAAGCTTCAATGGCTCGATCATGCAAACGTTTGTCGGGATTCTTTCAAAACATCATCGCCGAGATGCGCGGATCTGCTGTCTAGTCGCACCCACAGACTTGTGAGAAGGAGATGGAGAGAAGATGTCTTATTCTATCTGCGATAAAAAAAAATCCCTAGAGAGAATGAATCCCAGACTCACCAACAACAACCCACAGGAGAACGATAAAGAGAGCAGAGAGAAGATCACCTATAACATTTCAGTTTCAGGGAACCTGCAATCAGTGTTCTTTTCCCGGGGAGAAAAGGAATCATGCGCATCGGCTGGTGCTTCGCGAACCCCATCTCGTCAATGGCCTGCAAGACTCCAATTTCCTCAGCCAGACTCAAAGGGGAGAATGCTCAGCGGTTCTTCGATTGCACCGGCGGAGCTGAGAGGAGAGATCGAGAGATAATCATAGAGACCGGGGCGCGACTTTAATCAGTATCCGGAAAAGAACAAAAAAAACGAAAATAGTTGAGATTGACAGCTCACTGGAACCGACAGATCTTCCTCTTCACATGTGCACCAATCAAGTCCGCTACTCAACCCAGCAGTCTCTAGTCATCGATGAAGATGGTACAACCAAAAGCATATCTGAAAAAAAACACCCCAAACCAATTAAAAAGAGACACAGATAGACTGAGAGAGAGGAAAGAAACCAAACAAATCGAATCTCACCATGAATCGAGCAGAACCTTAGAAATCAGTGCGGGGGCAGTGAGTAGCAGACGAATTGCGAGGTCTATGGACGAACCGAGGAAGGAAGAATGAACACGGCAGCCGATTGCGAGGAGGAAGTGGGAATTTCTTCTCCCAACAGTACCGTTTCGAGTATAAGCGGGAAGAGGAGCGACAGGGATCAACCGGACACCACCTAATCCGCCAGAGAGGATCTCGACGCCGCCGGCTCCCTGGGCGGGATCAGATGGTGGAGGCGGTGAAGGCGGTGGAAGCGGAGGTGGAGAAGGTGGCAACGACAGCTGTTGAGGCGGTGGGGATGATGAAGGCGGCGGCGACGGAGGAGGTGGCGGCGGTGGAGGCGGAGGTGACAGAGGAGGTGGCGATGGAGGAGGCGGCCATTTTGAGAGATTGAAGAGAGAGAGGAGAAAGAAAGGAGAGAGAAACTGAGATGAAGAAATGGGGGGATGAATGCGCACAGATGGAATGAAGCACCTAATAAATTAGTCTCTCACCTCCTACAAAGCAGAACCCTTCTCCCAACGTATCCTCAGTACCTCACATTTCCCCGAGACATCAATTTGATGATGAAAAAGCATCGATCATCGCACCGGTCAGACAGAGGCACACTAACCAGAGGCATATTGAGGCCTCCGAGAGAAAAGGGGAAAAGCAGAGGCAACCGATAGAGGAAGAAGAGGATATCAGAGTTGAATTGAGGGCGGTGCACTCTCCAAAGCAAGCACATGCAGGCTGCAGCTAACCGGAGTGTTCCCAAAGCAAGCCAAAAGTGGCGGTAAGGCAATAAACACGCTACCATCCCGTTGAACAAAGCGCACCGGGGCCCACCGTAGAGTATAAACCAATGGGAGGAGGGTGAACAGTAATTTTGAGTCTAAATGAACAGGAATTCCGTGTCTAGGCGAACAATGTACCGTGTCTTTGCAAATAACTTTTTTCAATATTAGCTAGCGCAAGCCACAGGCACGTGTTGCTCTCCTTCCCCGGCGCCTGTCCTGGAAACACAGAATTATTCACTTAGGGTAATTAGGATAAAAGGTTACAAAATTATTCACTTTGTACGAAAAGATCACAAACCTTTTATTTTGTACGTTCCAGTAACATGCGTTTGAGAAAATACAGAAATGGCCATTCCGTCCATCTCCATCCAAAAAACGTTAGTTTCATTTAGTTAGCGCGCCACGTCACTGACTGACCGTTTGGTACCAAATGAATCGAGAATTCATTTCATTTTAAAATGAATTCCCATGTAAAGTTCATTGTCAAATGAATTTCTGGTGTTTGGTATGTCATATACTCATATTCAAATCTATAGAAATAAAAAGAATTTAATTCCGAAACCATGTTTGGTATACATTTAGAATTAAATTAAACTAAAAGTTTTCAACTATACCTTATTAATTTCCTTCCTAAACAATATTCATTGCAATCCATCTTCTAAAAATGATTATGGTCCCATAAGTAGAATATCAAAAGTGTTCTTATGTGTTTCTATTCTATTAATTAGTTCTTTTTAAATATTTCGTCGATGAACCCTACACTCTAATTGTGTCTTCTCAACGTAATGATACAATTGAAGCAGAAATATCAAATAACCAACATCTGCTACTGGTGTTGCAATCAAATTCTTGCCGGCGTTCCTCATACTGCTGAGTTGACACCAAATAATATATGTCGAAGGAGTGGCGTAGCCAAGATTTTATGTAAGGTGGGTCCGACTTTTTTTATATTACAAGAAAAATTAGAGTCATTGCAGTGCCCCATAATGTGTTCTCATATATTACTTGCATTCATATGATATCGATGTCAATAAACCTTATAAAATAATCATTCATGATTATATCACCCATTAGATACCAAAGAGTGTTTTCACGTGGCTCATTGAAAATGTCATTTCAATACTTGCAGTGGAGCCTTAGTTAGCAACAACAATAAGTTACTTCTTTCAATTACCATGATTTGAAAAATAACTCCTAATTTTGTATGTAGTTTTAGACAATAGCTAGCCTATATTCACGTCAAAGTATACATATAATAATTTAGTTGAGGTTTAAAACCTTATATATTAAATTTATTAATAGAATAAAAAGAATCTAGTGAGTTTCAACAAAAGAAAGTTTTGTCGATATATAATGAATAAACCTGAAATGGTTGAAGTACGATTAAACCACGTTTTCAACATAAAATATCCTACCATTGACTTGTTCCATATAACTTTTGGTACGATTTTTAATCCTTATTATTTAAGCGTACATATTTTCTCACGAACCAAGGTAGGTCCCGGGACCCACCTTAGTATGCAATTTAGTTAATAAATGAGGATAATTATGTCATTTTATTATAATTAGTAAATACTTGTAGTATTCATTAGGAAATTCCGCTATAACTAGTTCCAATTACGTAGAATTCAAAATTTAGAATTGAAAATTAATTCTTTTAAATACCAAACACAAAATGTTTTCATTTCAATATAAATTTCTTAAAACTTATGGAATTCATTTATACCAAACAGTATGTTAATATTTTAAAAAAATTAATTACCAAACCCAATTGAACCGGGAAGCCCAACCAAACCCTAATTCTCTTGCATCAGAAATCTTGGAGACTAGTTAATAAATAAATAAATTGTCGTTTTCACTCGACCTACTGATAACACTGAATTTGCACATGTTTTCCCTATCATTATAGATCGTTTAAGATTCAATTGTTGCTTTGTTGGCCTATTTTATGCTAGATTGTATTCTTTTGTCACATTTCAGGTCCTAACATGTAAAGTGAAGGCAGAGGCGCAAATTTCAAGTTAATCGGAGATCAATTGTCAACTCGGGAGAAGAAACTTGGGCATGACCAGAAGAAGAATGAATTTCTACCTCACTTTATTTACAAAGAATCCTGTAAGATTGTCATGAAAAGAAAGAGGACAAGACTACAAGAATCTGGGATCAAACGACACCTCAATCGGAGCTCAAACAAGCTCAAACGGAGCTTAGAAGTGCATGCTGGAAAATGTGCACGACCGTGCGAGTTTTCTAGTGAGTTTGCACGGTCAAAACCTCAATTTGCTCGGCCGTGAAATTCGGGGGTGCGGATTTCAGTGGGTATAAAGGCTGTTTTGCGAGTTTTGGAGAGACAATTGGGTTTTGGATCCCAAACACCCGAGGGATGAACCCTAGAGAGAGCACCTTGTGATCATTCTTGGAGCTATCTTGGAGGGTTTCGTCAACATTAGAGCTCGGAATCAAGCTTGGAGATGGGGATTGAAGTTATGGATCAGATTTCTCCATTCTCTCTCTTCTCTATGGAGTAACTTCCCTTCACTTAGGTTGTGAGGAACCCTAGCTATGTTTGTGTGATTGGATGACTGTATGAGTACTCCTATTTGATAATCTTGAGTTCATATTCAATCTATGCATGTTTTCATGATTCAATTCTGCTTTAGTCGAGATGATTGATTCTGCTTTGATCCTATGAGAGTGACTACCTGATTAGGTCAATAGAGCACCATAGATTGATAGTATTGCTTTAGTCGAGGGTCGATTCACTGCTTTTTATCGATTGAGAACCTCATTCGATAGAGGGAATCTAGTTCAGAACTCCTTGATTGGTTGTTCTAGAGAAGGATACATCCCTCTAGGCAATCGACTCAAGAGGGCCTTGATTTCCTTAGTTGCGATTCAAGGTCTAGTCAAATATTCTCCGCATTGTGAATGAAAGTGAAATAGGTTAGAGATCATCAACTATTAATCTGGCTAGTGGCTAGGGAAAATCATACCTAAGTGAGTTCTCGACCTGTAATTAGTAGTCTAACTTAGAGTATCTTGTAGGAGTAGTTTAGCTAACCAAACCTTAATATGATTTGCTAGATAACAAGCTGAAACGGAGTAATATTAAATCTAGAGACCTCACGAATTTGATATTTATTACTTGCACCACTATACTACCGACCCTTTCATTGGTTACACTTGGCCACTATTAGGAGTTGTGTTTTAGCGAGTCACCTACAGGGCAGCGATTCCCCCCCCCCCCCCAAATCGCGCCCTTAGAACAGTCTCTAGCATCTCCGAAACCAACAGAGGGTTTAAGTAGTCAGTTATTGCATGATACAATCGGGTTTCTGAAGAATTCGCTATCCGTACCAATCGAAGTCCCGGAGGATCAGGAGTTCCGGCAATTCAAGGACCCGAAGGAGCGGAAGCACGAGGATCATGTGGCACACGACACTCTAGGGATTCCCGAGTTAGGGTTCCTCAATTGTAAGAAGAGAAGCAATGAGGGTAAAGACAAAGAGGTTAAGGAATCAACGAAGAAGTTTGTGGATTGGAGAAACTACATTGTCGAGAAATTGGACAAAATCAAGCTCAACCTGGAATGTTATCAGTATAATAAGTGTTGATGTTCCCACTTCGAATGATTTTCAAGGGATGAAGAAGAGTTGGGATGAGGCCTCCGCTTTTGGAAACCGAGGTTTCGTCCAGTCTCGGGGCTTCTAGAAAAAGTTGGTTTCGGCCAGCGACGCGACCCGGAGATGCTATGGGCTTGGTGACGGGAGATTGTTCCGAGGGCACGATTTGGGAAGAGGAATCCCTCTGTAGGCTGAGTGAAAACTGAAAATGAAAGATTTTTTTATGAACTAATCTCCAAGATTTCGGGTGGTAGAGAATTTGGATTTTTAGTTGGGCAGTTGTCCGGTTCAATTAGGTTTGGTCATTAAATTTTGGGCTAATACCACTACAACACCCGAACTATCCGAAAAATGCCACTTGTGTCCTATTGTTTCCAATATTCCATCTGTGTCCTGAACTATTATTCCGTTAGTGTTGACCGGCGTTGACCGTTAGTATTTAACAGAAAATCCAGTCAGCGGTGACGTGGCATCTGACGTGGAATTTTCATTATCAATTTTCATTTAATAAAAAATTTTAAAAATAAACAAATAGAAAAACCTCTCAATCCCTTCTCCGCTTCTCCTCCCTTCCTTCCTCCCCAGAAATTCGAACCCAGAAATTCTCTCGATCCCTTCTCCGCTTCTCCGCTTCTCCTCCCTTCCTTCCTCCCCAGAAATTCGAACCCAGAAAATTCGAACCCAGAAAGGCGCTTCTCCGCTTCCCCGCCGCCGCCGATTCACGGCGACCTTGAGCTCCGCTCTCTTCACCAGCGCATCGCCTCGCTCCTTCCCCTGCAGCGCCTTCCCGCGCGGCGGCGAGAGCGCGGAATCGATTGCCTTCAATGCGGCGGCCTTGTGGCCGAGGAGATCGAGGGCGACGGATTTGAGGACGAGCGGGGCTGGGTCCTTGGGGGAGAGGGCGGCGGCGGATTCGGCCTCGGCGAGGGCCTGTTTGGCTAGGGATTGGGACTGGGTGGAGTTCTTGGCGGCGGCGGATCTGGCTCGGGCGAGGAATTGGGAGCCTTGGATGAAGTGGCGGTTGGATTGGAGGGCGGTGCGGTTGTTGGCTCGCTGCCTTGAGAGGAATAGCTTGGAGAGGTACTGGATTGCGACGAAGACGGCGACGGTCAGTGCGATGATCGCCACTTGGAAGGCGCCGTCCGTCGCCATGGAGAGTCGGAAGAGCGGCGGAGGTGGGGAAGCAGGTGTAGGGTTTGAGTCAAAGTGAGGGCGGGGGTTTCGGCTTTCGTGGGCCGGGCGGTGGCCTTTGGAAGACCCAAATCAAGATCGCGCTGGTAGCCGTACTTGATTTCTGGGTTTCGGCTGGAACCCAGAAAATCGAACCCAGAAAATCGAATTTCTGGGGAGGAAGGAAGGGAGGAGAAGCGGAGAAGGAAGAGGAAGAGGAAGAAACAGAGAATGGGAGAAGAGGAAGATTGATACGGCGGGGAAGACGAAGAAGCAGAGACGGGGAGATTGGAGGGGGAGCCTTTTTTTTAATTTCTAAGAATTTTGTATTATAGTTATTATAATTTTATTTAACTAATTTTATTTTTAATAAAGTAATGACATGTCAATGAGGTGGAATCTACGTGGATGCCACTTTTTTGCCACATATGCGAAAGTCAACACTAGTTTGACTTCCGTCAAGTCAACAGTTATCTTTAACGGTCAACGTAAGACGCCATGACACAAATGTCACAAACTCATATAGTTCAGGACACAGATGGAATATTGAAAACAATAGGACACAAGTGGCATTTTCCGGATAGTTCGGGTGTTGTAGTGGTATTAGCCCTTAAATTTTTAAGTAATCTTTTAATGACATGGCATGCTGACTGGACAAAACTAACGGGTTTTTGGATGGAGAGACGGACGGAATGTTCGTTTCGTTATTTTCTCAAACATAAGTTACTGAAATGTGCAAAATGAAAGATTTCTGACCATTTTGTAAAAAACGAATAGATTTGTGACCTTTTATGCTAATTACCCTCTTCCTTGCCTCCAATCCAACATTCACCCGAGAGTTTATGATGCTAACACTAACATCTACCATTAAGAAAAATTTCTTTTGCTGACTTTTTATGCCGAAGGAGTTAATCACAATATAAAACCAATTTTAAAGGAACACCATTGTCATTTTAAAAAATTATCAGAGCAACGTGTGTGTGAACCACAAGTATCATGAGACATACTAGAAAAACGACAAACCACACCACAAAACATTTAAAGTAAACCTGAAAGTTCATAAAGCATATGAGATGCTTAACACACCATTAATCTCTTCAAACATACCAGAAAACTCAAAGCCGATAACAAGAGTCCACAAACATACCATAAAACCCATAAAACTGACCACATAACATGAAGCATACCATAAATATGTGAAACCCACACAACACTTATGAAGCATACCAAAAGGCGAGAAACCACACCAAAACCCCATAAAGCAAACCCGAAACGCTCCAAAATACACCACAAATGCTAAACATAATGCAAACCACAAAATTAAACTCATAAAAAGCTTACAAGTACGGAGAAACATACCCGAAACATGACAAACTATAATACATAACTAATAAAACAAGATCATAAACCTCATAATACATACCGAGAAATATAAAAACTACAGAAAACTACACCATACACAGTACAAAGCTCATCACGCCATAAACTCGTGAAGTAGACTAAAACTCGTAGGGGCCTTTCGGATTGAGTATTTGGCAAACTTGTTATTTGAGGTCAATTACCACATAAATACCACATAATATAGAACTTGTTATTTGGTATGTGATATTTAGTCTCAAACCTGTTATTTGGCAAATATATGTTCCTCCCAAGTATCTGGCAAACAACACTTTTTGTGTTATTTAGTCTCAAACATGTTATTTGGCAAAACACCACATCCAAATAACACATCCTTTTTTTATCAGCCAAACATATATTTTGAGTCAAATAACACTTCCAAATGTTCATATGGAAAATGTATATAACCCTCCCTCATAATCGCTATGAAATACCATTACCAAAATACCCTTAGGGGTCGTTTGGATGCAGTATTTGTATGAGTTATTTGGGTTCAAATAACTCATAATGAGTTATTTGAACGCAAATAACTGGTTTGACAGCGTTTTACTGACATGAGTTATTTGGACAGTGAGTTATTTACAAATAACTCAAAACGAGTTATTTGAAATAACTTATTCTCATATGTTATTTCGAAATAACTCGTTTTATCACTCTGCTTTTACCAAATACCACATGTCAAATACTATATTTGCATGGTTCAACCAAATGAGATACTTTATTTCAATTGCCAACTGAAATAACACTGAAATAACACATAAAAAATAAATGAGTTATTTGACTCTACAAATACCACATTGACAATTAATCCATCCAAACGACCCCTTACTAATTATCCGGTCCCACCAACATTACCCTCTTTTCTTTTGTTTGCACCCCAGACAGTGGGTACGCGTCTGGGTTAGGGATGGCAATGTGTCGGGTCGGGGACGGATAGTGCATATCCGCTACCCTACCCAGAGTAGTTCTGGTTTTACCCATACCCATACCCACATAAGAAACGGGTAGAAAATCTAAACCATGCCCATACCCGTTCGGGTTTCGGGTATCCACGGTTATTCATGGGTAATAGTTTCTCTTTATAACTCCAACCAATATGTTAATATTGACACGTATTCTCACGTTACGTAAGACGAAAAGTACGACAATAATTCACTAGAATGAAGAAAATTAATTAAAACAACAAAATTTCATAAAACTATTATATGTATATGCTAAATATAAAATATGTAAGAGAAAATTATTGATTATTTCTAGACAAAATACATATGCATGTGTATAATCGGTCGGGTTCGGGTTGGATAGTGAGAAAACCATGCCCACCCATTATCCGCAATATTCGGGTTCGGGTTTTACCCGTATCCACTAAAAGGCATTCGGGTTCGGGTTTTACCCTACCCGATTAGGCCGGATTCGGGCGGATATCCATGGTTACGGATATTTTTGCCATCCCTAGTCTGGGTAGCTTCTTGGCTGTCCACAGAATTTCATATTACACTCCCTTCATCCCTTCCCTTCCCTAAAACCAAACCTGTTTCGTCTAAACAAGCCTCTACCAGGTGCTCTGCTTAATAATACTGTTACTGAACCTTTCAATTCCACAATCAACCACTCAGAGGTCCCCCAACAAAACCATTAAATAAGCCCAATGACTATGAGCTGCCATTTCCACCCAGACCCAGCACAGCTTCTTCACTCTCCACAGACACTCTCATTATATTAAAACCCTCCCTCATACTCTGCTCCCAACTGTAACCATTCCCAAAAATCCCAATGGCCATCCTTCCCTTCCTCTTCCTCTTCCTCTTCCTCCTCCTACTTCACACCCCTCCATCGGCCTTCGCTTCCAATTACTTAATCGGCCTCGGAAGCTACGACATTACCGGCCCTGCCGCCGACGTCAACATGATGGGTTACGCCAACGCCCAACAGACTGCCTCCGGGGTCCACTTCCGCCTCCGCGCCCGTGCTTTCATCGTCGCCGAACCCAAGGGCAACCGTCTCGTCTATGTAAATCTCGACGCTTGTATGGCTTCCCAGATCGTTACCATCAAACTCATTGAGCGCCTCAAAGCCAGGTCGCCGTCAATCAATATCCTCTGTCAACCCCTGTTTCCATCTTCTTTAATTTTTTTTTTTTACTCTGTTTCTGACTTCTTTTTTCTCTCTCTGTTTTTAGGTACGGTGATCTTTACACAGAGCAGAACGTGGCCATCAGCGGGATCCACACCCACGCTGGACCAGGAGGCTATCTCCAATACGTTGTCTACATCGTTACCTCATTTGGGTTTGTTCGTGAATCCTTCGACGCCCTCGTTGACGGGATTGAACAGAGCATCGTTCTAGCTCACCAGAATCTCCGGCCGGGGTCAATCTCAGTTAATACAGGTCAGACTGACGAAGAAGAAAAAACGATTTCGTTTGGCCGCTATGCTCACCTCTTCAATTTGGATATGAATTTAAAATTACGTTTGTAAATTCTGCAGGGGAGCTGTTGGATGCTGGAGTGAATCGCAGCCCGAGTGGTTACCTCAACAACCCTGCATCTGAGAGGGCCAAGTACAAGTACAATGTCGACAAAGAGATGACATTGATCAAGTTTGTAGACGATGAGTTCGGCCCAATTGGTAGCTTCAACTGGTTTGCCACTCATGGAACTTCGATGAGCAGGACCAATTCGCTCATTAGCGGCGACAATAAGGGCGCCGCTGCTCGATTCATGGAGGACTGGTTCGACAAGCGCGGATTGGCTTCAAATGTTCAATTCGCCAGTAGTAACTCTGCGACTATCGATCGGATTCCTCGACGAATGTCGAGTTTAGTCGATGAGGTAAGTGACGAGAGCGCCGTGTTGCTGGAAGCCGCGTCGTCGTTCAAGTCAACCCAGGGTCGAAATTTGACGGGGAATTTGAGCGTCTCGAAAAGGGTCAGGAAGGGCCAGACCGGTGGTGGCAGGCCGCAGTTCGTTGCGGCATTTTGTCAAACGAATTGTGGGGATGTGAGTCCCAACGTGCTCGGTGCGTTCTGCACGGATACTGGACTGCCTTGTGATTTCAATCACAGTACCTGTAACGGCAAGAATGAGCTCTGCTACGGCAGAGGTCCAGGGTAATTGCCAATCACCACCCTTTTCTAAATTCTCGACTTTTTCCATGGAGGTTTAGTTGAACTGGGTTAAACTCAAATCCCAACATGTGTTGAATGTTTTTTGTAGGTACCCAGATGAGTTCGAGAGCACAAGGATCATTGGGGAGAGACAGTTTAAGAAGGCCACCGAGTTGTTTGGCAAGGCGAGGGAGCAGCTGAAGGGCAAGGTCGATTACAGACACGAGTTTGTAGATTTCTCCAACCTGGAGGTGGCGCTAGGGAACGAAGTGGTGAAGACTTGCCCTGCTGCCATGGGATTTGCCTTCGCTGCAGGAACCACCGATGGGCCTGGTGCTTTTGATTTCCGGCAAGGCGATGATCAGGGGAATGCGTTCTGGCGCCTAGTGAGGAACTTTCTCAAGGCACCTGGACAAGAGCAGGTCAACTGTCAGAAACCGAAGCCAGTCTTGCTTGATACTGGTGAAATGAAGCAACCCTATGACTGGGCAGTAAGTAGTTTGAGTAATTAGTAATTACACTTCCTTCAGTCAGTAAATAGTACAAAAAAAGCTTGTATCTTTAATGCATAATAATAATTGATGCTTATGCTGTGCAGCCAGCCATTCTTCCTGTTCAAATGATGCGGGTTGGCCAGCTTGTGATTCTCAATGTGCCTGGAGGTACAAAGTTTGATCATATTCCTCTCCCCGTATCTTCATTTCTAGTGCTACATTACATTCCCTTTCGCTACTTCATTTCCAGAGTTCACAACAATGGCGGGAAGAAGGCTAAGAGATGCAGTGAGGGCAGCTCTTACTTCAGGAGGTAACAAAGAGTTCAACAGCAACGTCCACATTGTCATCTCCGGACTCACCAACACATATTCCCAGTATGTGACCACCTTCGAGGAGTACGAGGTCCAGAGATACGAGGTAATCAATCAATGAAAGATCAATTTCTTTAAAACATCAGCCTCATTGAAAATCGGCTGACTTCATTCATCTCATGGGTCGATGCAATTAGGGTGCCTCCACTCTGTACGGTCCACACACTTTGAGCGCCTACATCCAGGAATTCAAGAAGCTGGCCACGGCCCTAGTGCGAGGCCAGACGGTGGAAGCACGGCCGCAGCCACCGGACCTTCTCGACAAGCAAATCGAACTCCTGCCTCCCGTCGTTCTGGATTCAGCCCCGTTAGGAAGGAACTTTGGAGACATGAAAACCGATGTGCCTGCGAATTCCACCTTCAGAAGGGGGGAAATGGTTTCGGTCGCTTTCTATTCGGCATGTCCTAGGAACGATCTAATGACGGAAGGCACGTTTGTGCTGGTGGAGTTGCTGGAGAAGAAAATGTGGGTTTCGGCCTACGACGACGATGATTTCTGCCTGCGGTTCAAGTGGTCGAGGCCGGGGAGGCTCAGCCCGGAAAGCTATGCGACTGTGGAGTGGAGGATTCCGGAGGGTGCGGACGCGGGAGTGTATAGGATTAGTCATTTTGGTGCGGCCAAAGGGCTTTTGGGTTCGATCCGTCACTTCAGTGGGAGTTCGAGTGCCTTTGTGGTGTTGTAGGTAGGGAGAAGGAAAAAGGCAATGTCGTGGAAAGCAAGCAAAATGGTGGGGAAGAGCATTTGATACGGAATTGGGTGCTTTTATTCATTTGGGTCACCGTATGAAGCAAGTCTGGACATGTGCATGTTGTCCGAAATGAGAATTCCTAGAGGAGGAAATTGGGGAATCATTTATGATCGGTTGTACAAGTATAACAAGTGTTTGCATAGGGCTCATGATGGTTCCTTAATTTTCTCTCCAAATAAATACACAATACAAAATGTCATATTAACCTATGTTTCCATATATTAAACGATATTATACTTCATGTAGTTTTATAACGCTAGATCATTTTGATAATTGATTCGGGTATAGTTGTACACTTTTTATCCCCGTTTCTCTTTGACGTTTGTTGCAATTGAGCTCCAAAAGGGTGGTTTTACACTAGGTTCTTGTGTTTTAGTGTGTTTCAGATCCTAACAGGTGAAACCAACCCCGGATCGTTGAGGTGGCAAGCGGTCCGCCGCTGGATCGCTTCCTCATCCTGCGGTCTCCAAGGCCGTTGCCCACCAAACACAGACCACACCTCCAAGGTGCGGTTTCCAGTCTGACATGGACTAAAACGCACCTTGAATGTGCGATTTGATAAAAATGGTGCTATTTATGTAAATGTTGTGGGCTGGATGCTATTTTTGTAATTTTTTTTAATAGGTGCTATTATTGGAAAAATCCCAGAAGCAGGAGAAGGAAAAGGATTGAGAGAGACAGAAGACGAACATGAAGAAGAAGTTGCAGGGCCGGCGCTTGCGGTGTGCGGTGATGGTATGGAGATGAAGGCTGGAGGGGACGAAGTTTTTTAATTTTTTGTTTACCAAAAAATAATATTTTATTCATTGCTAACGGTAGGCGGATGGAATTTCTAACTGATGCACAATTTCATGACGTCAGTGGTACCCGACGCCCTATTCTCACTTAAGTGGTATAGCTCCCCCAATTCTCATACTTTAGTGGTATCCGGGGTATTTTACCCTTATAAACGCGATGCTACGGATCGAGAAATCGCCGGAATCGAGAAAACAAGAATATGAAAGCGAGAATCGAAAAACACGACACACGATTTATATGGTTCACTAACACGATGTGTGTTAGCTAGTCCACGAGCGAGAGAGAGCCAGTTTCACTATATCAAGTAGATTAGAGGTTACAGAGGAGATGATATGAGATGTATTTATACTTCTCCATGTGGGTCTAAACCTAATCCAATATGGCAAAGGAAACGGTTATAAACCAGGGCCAGAACTCGAACCCAAATAACATTGAGCCCATACACCGCGACTATTCCAGTCGTAGCGGCTGATAGTTCGATTCAAGTCACATCAACAAATCTCCACCTTGACTTGAATTCTCTTCCTCTGAAATCTCTCATGTACTCTGCTCCTTCTCTCTCTCTCTCCCGACATCAATGCCCCCTAGGGCGGAGTCACCCACTCAAGACATTCAGCAAGTCCAAGCAGTGTTGGAACTTGCCATGTGGAACCGGCTTCGTGAACATATCAACAGGATTATCCGCGGTGCCAACCTTCTTCACCTTAATCCTCTTCTCTATCCTCAAGAAATGATACCTCACGCCGATGTGCTTAGTCCTCTCATGGTGGACTTGATCCTTGGCCAAGCATATTGTACTCAAACAGTCGCAATACACCACTGCCTGATCATGATGTAGACCCAGATCACCAACCAGTCCCTTCAACCAAATTCCTTCCTAAGGAGGTTCTATCAACACCATATACTCTGCCTCAGTAGTAGACAATGTCACCGCCGACTGCAGAGTTTCCTTCCAGCTCACTACAAAACTCCCAAGAGTGAATACATAACCGATCATCGATCTTCTCGTGTCAACATCTCCAGCATAGTCCGAGTCATAATACCCAGACACCAAACACTCTGTATCACTTCCGAAGCTAAATCCCCACATCAGGTGTACGCTTAAGGTACCGGAAGATCCTCTTCACAGCCTTCCAATGCTCATTTCTAGGTTGTATCATGAACCTGCTGACAACACTAACAACATGTGCAAGATCAGGTCTAGTGCATACCATAGCGTACATCAAGATACCTACTACACTAGCATATGGGACTCTCGACATGTACTCCTTCTCAGCCTTTGACTGCGGTGCATAACATGAGGATAGATGAACATTTGAAGCACTATGAGTATTTAAGGGCTTTGCAGAAAACATGCCAAACCTCGACAGTATCTTCTGGATGTAGCTCTTCTGTGACAAGAAAAGCTTCTTCTTCAATATGTCCCTGTAAATATCCATACCCAAGATCTTCTGAGCAGCTCCCAAATCCATCATCTCAAACTCACACTGCCTTTAACTTTTGGATATCATACTTCGACCTCGCAGCTATGAGCATATCATCCACATACAGAACAAGATAGATCATCGAACCATCATCCACCTTGTTGTGATACACACAACAATCATATGGACTTCTACTGTAGCCTAGATCAAGCATGTAACTGTCAAATCTCTTGTACCACTGTCTCGGAGACTGCTTAAGTCCATACAAGGACTTCTTCAGCTTACAAACATAGTCTTTTTTTCCTGGAACCTAGAATCCTTCTGGATGAGTCATGTAAATTTCTTCCTCCAACTCTCCATGTAGGAAAATTGTCTTCACGTCTAGCTGCTCGAGCTCCAAGTCATAATGTGACACTATTGCTAGTAGTACCCAGATCGAAGTATGTTTGACCACTGGTGAGAAAATCTCATTGTAGTCAACTCCTTCCCTCTGCGAGAAGCCTCGTGCTACCACCCAAGCATTAAATTTCATGCCCTCTTCAGAAGTGATTCCTTCCTTCTTCTTGTAGATCCACTTGTTTGTAACAGTCTTCCTTCCCTGTGGTCATTTAACTAGCTCCCATGTCTAATTCCTGTCATGGGATTCCATCTCATCTCCCATTGCAGCAAGCCACTAATCAGCTTCGCCACACAAAACGACTTGTCTGTAGGATCGTGGTTCACCTGCATCCACTTCTTCAGCAACCTGAAATGAATACACCACCATATCCTCAAAGCCATACCTCTCTGGAGGTATCCTGCATTCGCTCTCTTCGGTCTACCGGAAGCCATAGACTGTTGAGCTCGTGCACTGGACTCTGAAGTTTCAGGCTCTGCATAAACATCCTCATGTTGATCTTCTCCACCTTGGTGCTCAAACTCACTCTCTTTGAGAGTCTGCAGCTCCACCTGCTTATCAACATTCCTGCTACCTTCAACAACAATAACCTTCAACATGGGGTTATACATAGACTTCTCATCAAATATCACATTTCTACTGAGTATAACTCGGTGCTGAGAAGGTTATCAGATTCGAAATCCCTTAACTCCATTTCCCTAACCCACAAATAAACTCTTCTTTGCCCTTGGGTTTAGTTTACCTCATCCACATGATAATAAATAGCACACCCAAAAAATTTCAGTGAAGAGTTATTAGCAGGCTTACCATACCACCCTTCATAAGGAGTCTTACACTCGATACCTGTGTGAGTTCCACGGTTGATCAGGAAGCACACCATGTTTACTTCTTCTGCCCAGAATCTTCTCTCTAGTCCAGCATTAGAGAGCATGCACCGTGCTCTCTCCAACAATGTATGGTTCATCATTTTTGCAATGCCATTCTGCTGGGGTGTATCTCTAACGGTTCGATGACGGGCAATCTCTTCATCCTTGCAGAATTCGTTGAACTCAGAATTGCAGAACTCCAGACCATTGTCCGTTCGCAGCTTCTTGATCTTCTTCCTGGTCTGATTCTCCATCAATGAACTTCGTGAAAGCCTCACTTTTCTGCTTCGTCATGAAAATCCAAGTAAATCTCAAATAATCATCAATAATAGACAGAAAATACCTGCTACCTCCAATGGATTCAACTCGTGAAGGACCCCAACAGCCGGAGTGGAGGTAATCCAGTATCCCCTTTGTCCGGTGGATACCCTTCTTGGGAAACTTGCTGCGATGTAGCTTCCCAAACACACAATGCTCACAGAACTCCAAATTCTGCACATTGTGCCCACAAAGAAGATCCCACTTCGGCAGAACTTGCATCCCCCGTTCACTCATATGCCCTAGTTTCATGTAACAGATAGTGGTCATATCTTCCTGATGAACCTGAGATGATGCAACTGCAGCAGAACCTGACAACACATTTCTTTGTAATGCATACAAGGTACCACGCTTCACGCCTTTCAGTACCTTCCTCGAACCCCTGCAGACATACACAACTCCACATTTTCCTTTGAAACTGAAGCCCTTGTTGTCGAGTAGACTCAAGGAGATCATGTTCTTTGTCATTCGTGGAACATGTCTGACGTCATTCATGGTACAGAACGAACCATCATGTGTCCGAACCTTTATGGACCCGATTCCAACAACCTTGCAGGTAGCTCAATATGCCATGACCACGTTACTACCATCTATCTGCTTGTAGGTTGTGAAGCAATCCCTGCTCGGAGACATATGGTATGAGGCTGCAGTATCCATAAACCACACATCACCACGATGTGCCTTCTCATCTACAGCCAAGGCGAGATCGTCTTTAGAAATTTTGCCCACTTCTGCCACGACAACTGAACCTTGCTTCTTCTATTGCCCTCTTCTCTCGGGACAGTTGTACTTCCAATGCCCCACTTCCTTACAGTTGTGACATGCATCACTTGGTTGTGGTCCGGGACTCTTGGGTTTCCCTTTATTTAGATTTCTTCTTTCCTTTTCCACCTGTGACAACCAACCCCGAGGCTTCACCACCTGTGCCAGATTCGGACGCCTTATGTCTGATCTCTCTCGTGTGAAGAGCAGATTTGACATCCTCCAACGACAAGCTATCTTTACCAGCAATAAAAGAATCCATGAAATTCTCATATGAACTCGAAAAAGAAACAAGCAGGATTATGGCAGCATCTTCATCATCAACTTTCACATCTATATTTCGTAAATCTAACAAAATAGAGTTAAGCTACTCCAGATGTTCCCTCAAAGGCGTACCTTCTTGCATGCTCAAGTTGAACAACCGTTGCTTGAGATGCAGCTTTTTAGTTAGAGACCTAGTCATGTACAAACTCTCTAGTTTCAACCACAAGCCCGCGGCAGTCTTCTCAGCAGCGAATTCAATGATGATGTCATCAGACAACGATAGCATGATGGTCGAGTGGGCCTTCTCCTCTAAGGTATTCCACTCATCGTCATTGACCGCTGCCTTCTTCTGTTTCACAGACAGCGGCCCCCACATCCCTTGCTGTTTCAATAAAGCCTGCATCTTGATCTGCCATATAGCGAAGTTGTTCTTCCCCGTGAACTTCTCGATCTT